TCGAAAAGTGCCGCGTAGCAAGCCGGGGGAGTTACGTGGTTAAGATTGAGTGCAACGAGTAGATGGCCTCTATCACCAATTTCCACGCTAAGAATCGATGGAAAGAAAGACTCAATTAGAATATATGATCGGAGCAAAAACATGGAGAAGGATGATAGAAGCTTCAGGTGAAGCTAGGGTTCAGCAAGATCGTAGGACATTAAAGAAAGAAGGAGGACAGGAGGTTGTATCCAAGCCACACAAGAGTTTGTCAAGCCACAAGTCTGTAACTATGCTTGACAGCCGCACAGACCCATCCGGTAGCTCGTTCACCCGCAGCCGCAGCGATCCGGCGTGTGATTGGTTGGAGGCTTTCCCAAATTTCTAAACTGGCGAAATAGTACGAGCTCTCAGAAAGGGATTCGTGATCCATACCAGCATCCACGTTGACACCAATTGCCAGAGATGGCGAACCCCAATGCGATGCGGCCGTCGATAGGTCGCGTATTGCGCCTCCAGGAGACTCGGCAATGGCTGTCCACGACACCCGCGACGGCCACCCAACCCCGAACCGCAGCGGCATGCTTCTCGACTTCGGCTGCGCACTCGGTGCGCAAGACCCGCGACAACAACCGCCTCCGAGGTGTCAGTACCATGAAGAGATCCGGTCCCCGTGAGCCGCTCTCCGTATCATGGGAGACGCTGCCCAAGCCGTCAAACTACAAGCGTGAGGTTCCTACGGACCCGAACCACGGGCTCTGGGACTTTTTCTACGGCAAGAACAAGCTCTTGAATACGCCCAAAGAGGACCAGTCTCATGGCCGTGCATGGACAGTGGAGGAGCTGAGAAAAAAGAACTGGGAAGACCTCCACTCGCTGTGGTATGTCTGTCTGAAGGAGAGAAACCGCATTGCGACGACGAGTCTCGAGCGTGAGAGACGCAAAGTCGGTTTCGGAGGGTTCGAGGCCAACAGCAGGGACGAGACGGTTCGTATTGTGTCTACCACATGACTTTTCGGAGATGGCTGCTGACCGGCGCTTGTTTAGGTTGTCACGACAATGAAGGCGATCAAGCACGTCTTGACCGAACGTTTCTACCTCTGGGAGGATGCGCGCAGATTGGCCGAGAACGACCCCGAAATCAATCTCTCTGGTGAAGGAGAGGCATACACGCCGCTGGCAGGATACGAGAATATGGAAGAGGGCAACAAGTACCTCGCCGAGGAGGTAGAGGCCGCAGCTGTCGAGTCACCAGTTATCGAGGCTCAAGCCGTCGAGGCGTCCGTCGAGCCTCAGGCAGAGAAGAAGGAAGCCGCGCCTGTTACGCCAGAGGCTGAGGAAGAGGTCGAGGTCAAGGTGAAGCCACCGCACCCGGCGAAGAAGGTCAAGCCCAGCAAACCGGTTGAGAGCAAGCCTGCGCCGGCGATGCCCAAGCCGAAGATCTGAGCGGCTCTGTTTGTTGTCTCCCCGTTCAGCGCGAGGGTCGCAGACGGGAGAGTCATGTATCATTGTATCCAGACATGTATAGAATCTTGTACGATACGAATATTTTGTGCCAGGCGTATTTTGGAAGTCATTCCCCAGACATCATTCTCACTCTTGACACCGCTGGCAACGTGCAATTGTCGACGAAGACTTAGAGCGCGCGTGATACAACAGCAACGCTTGCCATGGTCAACTTGAGAAAGGATTGAATAAGATCTACAGAAAGGTCTTGCATAACAGAGAGAAACTGAATAATAGATGAGACTTGTATTCGCATAATGTTACAGAACTGGGACGGGGAAGGGCGGGAGCTGGGTCCTTGTAGCAGGGACAAGCCCACTCACACCGCCGAGGGCGCCAGGTACACGCAGAGCAGACAAAAGTCGAAGTACCTTTTGAGCTAAGGTACTTGCAACTTGACGGCCTCGGTCGGTCCAGTCTGCTAGCGGTGAGCAAGTGGCCAGCATAGTTTGCAGTAAGAAGAGCGGGCGGAGAGCGGACCTTGCATGGGCCATTTGGAGGTACAACTGGAGCCAGGACGGGCCCCCCCAGCGAGCATTGGCACTGGTCACTGGCCACTGACCACCGGGCTGGCCCCCAGTGACACTGGACGCTTGATGTGCTGCCGCATGCACTGCTGAACCCCTCCACGTCCCTCCAAAACCCAACTGTTTCCAGCAATCTACGGCAAAGTAGGTGGCTCTTGCCCCCCCACTTGATCCTCCTTTGCTGCATGTTGCTCCCCCATGTCTCTTCTTCACAACACCGCAACTACTTCCCAGACATCCAACACTTCATACTTTTCTCTTCCCTTCTCCTTCCGCTGCGAAACCACCGACCGACTTTAATATAACAACAACCGTCACACACGCACATACCCCTCAGCCGCAACCATGGATGAGATTGCAAAGGAATACGATGTCATCGTGCTGGGCACTGGTAAGTGACGTTACGCCATCCTCCTTTATTTGCCCCGCATCGTCGCTCGTCGGCCTGTGGGGTCCCCGACTGCTCGACAGAGCTTCCTGGCTGACCGGTCGACCTCACCGTCCTCTCTCTTCAGGTCTGACTGAGTGTGTTCTTTCTGGGTAAGCAAGCTATTTTCTCCATCGCTCACTCAAATGTTCGCTTCGCTAATCATTATTCTCCCCGCGCAGTGTCCTCAGTGTGAAGGGCAAGAAGGTCCTCCACATTGACCGCAACGACCACTATGGCGGGTAAGTCTTGCTCCTCCAAGGCCGCGATCTGGCCTTCCACCCATGAAGAACCTAGCTAAACTTAACCAGTGAGGCAGCTTCGGTTAACCTCGAGACGGTATGACACCCACGACTCTTCCCTACCCTCCCGTCCGAATGGGGTTCTAACCCGACAAACTTGCAGCTCTACAAGAAGTACGGCAACTACGCAAAGGGCGAGGAGCCCTGGACGAAGTATGGGCGTCTGAATGACTGGAACATCGACCTTGTCCCCAAGTTCCTCATGTCCGCTGGCGAGCTCACCAACATTCTCGTCTCGACCGACGTCACAAGATACCTCGAGTTCAAGCAGGTTGCAGGCAGCTACGTCCAGCAGGGCCAGAGCTCCAAGGCCACTGTTGCCAAGGTTCCCTCCGATGCCGGCGAGGCTCTGCGTTCGCCCCTGATGGGCATCTTTGAGAAGCGCCGCATGAAGAGCTTCATCGAGTGGATCGGCACCTTTGACCGCAAGGACCCCGGCACACACAAGGGTGAGTTTCGACATTTCGAAGCATCGAGGGATGGCGGAATCGTGGGACAGGACTGACAGTCATGCGCTAGGCCTCGACATCAACAATGTCACCATGAAGGAGGTCTACGACAAGTTCGGTCTCGAGACCGGTACTCGTGACTTTATCGGCCACGCCATGGCTCTCTTCACCACGGACGAGTACCTCACTAAGCCTGGTGCCGCCCCCGAGGCCATCGAGCGCATCCGCCTGTACGGAACCTCTGTGTCCCGCTACGGCAAGTCCCCTTACATCTACCCTCTCTACGGTCTCGGCGAGCTTCCCCAGGGCTTCGCCCGTCTGTCTGCCATCTACGGTGGTACCTACATGCTTAACACCAACGTCGACGAGGTGCAGTACGAGGGCGGCAAGGCTGTCGGTATCAAGGCCACTATGACTGGCGTTGAGGAGATGAAGTTCGAGACCAAGGCCAAGATGATCCTTGGTGACCCCAGCTACTTCCCCGGAAAGGTCAAGGTTGTCGGACAGGTTCTGCGCGCCATCTGCATTCTGAAGCACCCCTTGGCCGGCACCAACGACGCCGACTCTTCCCAGCTCATCATTCCCCAATCCCAGATTGGCCGTCAGAACGGTAAGTGCAGTGTAACCGAAAAGTGAAACTTGAATGCACGACTCATTGAAGCTAGATATCTACATCGCCTGCGTGTCATCGGCACACAACGTTTGCCCCAAGGGCTACTGGATTGCCATCGTTTCGACCATTGCTGAGTCGAACGCCAACCACCACGTCGAGCTTCAGCCCGGTCTGGAGCGCCTCGGCAAGATCGAGGAGCAGTTTATGGTAAGAGAGAAGCCCGAGTCCGCGCAGTGTAAGAAACAGGGTACTAATTCTTTTGAAGGGCGCCCCGATCCCCATCTACGAGCCCACGGATGACGGCACCGGCGACAACGTCTTCGTCTCCAAGAGCTACGACGCCAGCAGTCACTTCGAGAGCACGACCGATGATGTCAAGGATATCTACCGCCGCGCCACCGGCGAGGAGCTCAAGGTTGAGGGTCTGAGAGAGGGCCTGCAAGTTGCGGATGAGCAGTAAGCGCAAGGGGATGCTTTATTGAAACTTTTGTTTTCAAGCGGGTGAGGGGAGGAGGGAGCAAGTCTGAGAGGCATTGTGTCCTCGCACATCATAACAGACGGCAATCCGGGGTATATATATAACATATCTTGGACGTAAACATCTGAGGGTGGTGCTCTTCAAAGTTATTCAAGCCATTTTACCACATTCTTCGGTTCCGTATGCCCGTACAACTGATGCCATATTTTGTGATGTTTTGAGTCCAGCACTCACAGACGGGCTCACTGAAGTCTTCTCATGTTTTCTTATAGGTTTCTTATTCAGGGTATTCAATGGTCCTTGATTTGATGGCCTTTGAAGAGAGCCATCAAACGTCGAGACACACGCAAAGCTAGTAATGCTGCGATGCTTTTTCTTTTGACATACGTTTCTCAAAAAGAAAAAAGGCATCACAGATTTTCCCCGTCTCCTATTCCTTCTCTTCTATCCCTCGTGGCCTCCCAATTCAAAATGTGGGAGCCTTTTACCGACCTCGTCAGATGTGATGTGATTTGTGTCGCAAGAGAACGAAGGAATGGAAGAAGACAAATAACAAGGCAGCAGCAAAACGAAACAAAGACCGCAAAACGCCTCCATGCCCTCCCCCCGAAATAAATAAAGCATATTTACTTTTATTCTCTTTCCGTAAACATCCATTACCGTCTTTTTTACCCCTACCGCTGCTGGCGATGACGGGGTTGGTGGTGGTGGTGGTTTTCTTAACGTCTCTGGTTCTTGCCGAGGCCACGCTTGCCGGCAACCTGTGGTAGTGGGTTAGCGTTTGCTTTGCATTTCGATACGATGTTCCAAGGCGGCGGATGAGATGGAAACTTACCAAATGCCTTTGCAGCGATACGGTGGTGTGACGATCACCCTCACCCTGTCTCGCCATGCGGTTCCGCTTCTTCTGGGAGAGCTTGGCGAGGCGGTCGGCCTTGTCGCGGGCCTCGTCGTCCTGGACACCGTCCTCGCGTCTGTTGACGATGGGGGCGCGGCTCTGGCTGCGAGCGCGGCTGTGGGAGCGCAGGCGCTCGCGCGGGGTGGCGTCCGTGTCCATCATGTCGACGTCCTCGGTGCCGGCGCGGGAGAGGCCGGAGGAGCGGCCGCGGGGGCGGGACTGGGCGCGGGCGCGGTTGACAATGTCGGTGGTGTCGACACCGAGCTGGTCGAGGGCGTCGTCCATCTGGGAGAGGGGCACCTTTTGGGACTTGCGGGGGATGATGGCCTGGTTCTTGAGGCGCTTCTTCATCTTGGCCTCGTTGCGGATGAGGGCCTGCTTCTCGCGGATGATCTCGGCCTTGGAGAGGATGTCGGCCTCCTCCTCGTCGTCGAGCTCCTCGTCCGACTCGTAGTAGCCCTCCTTCTCGAGGCGCTCCTCCTCCTCCTCGAGGGCCTGGAGCTTGGCCTCGATATCCGGGTCGACGAAGTCGTAGACGTTCTTGCCGTCAAAGACCTCGGGGATCTTGTCGTGCTTCCACTCGTCGTTGGCGAGGAGCCAGTCCTGGCGCATGTCGACGCTGTAGACGCCGGCGCCGCCGTTCTCGGCCTCGACGTCCTTGGCGAGCCTCCGGCGCTCCGGGTCCTCCTTGTCGTACTTCTTCATGTTCTTGATGCCCTCGGGGATGAATGTCTGGAGGGGCTGGCTGGTGCCGGGCTGGGCGACGTGGATACGCGCCATGACGTCGGCGAGGCGGCCGCCAATGTTGCCGCTGCTGTTGGTGCCGGCGTTGAGCTTCTGGGAGACGCGCTCGGCGATGAGGCGCTCGCAGACGGTGTTCTTGACGTTCTGGACGCCCTCCTGGGTGTTGCAGGAGAGCTGGAGCATCTCGACCTCGCCGGACTTGAGGAGGCCCTGGAGCTGAGCCTGGGTGGCGGCGTCGAGGTCCTCGGGCTTGACCACGTCGATCTTGTTGACGACGATGAAAACGATCTTGTTCTGGAACAGGGGCTTGATGCTCTGGAAGAGGTTGATCTGGGCCTGGATGGAGTAACCGCACTGCTCGCTGAGATCCATGAAGTAGAGAATGGCGGATCGCAGATGGGCAATGGCGGTGACGGACTGCATCTCAATGGTGTTCCTGAATGGGCTGTCAGCGTCTGAAACCCCTTTCCTGCGTCTTCAATATTGGGGTTTTGCTTACATCTCCTCGAGAGGGTGGTCGAGAATACCAGGGGTGTCAATGCACTGGAAACGAAGGTACTTGTAGTCAAAGTGACCGCAGAAGAGCGACTTCGTTGTGAAGGCGTACGGCTGGACATCGACGTCGGCTCTCGAGACGGACTTGAGGAAAGAAGACTTTCCGACGTTGGGGAAACCCGTGATGAGGAGGGTTCTGGTATTGGGATCGATCGAGGGAAGACGGCCAAGATCTTTTATTCCCTCGCAGTCAGTGGAAAATCCTTGTGCGCGCTCTCAGTGTCGTCGGATTGCCACTTACGCTGTCTAACCTGGTCGAGGTAAACCAGAGGGTCTTTGAGGCGCTTGATGAGCGTCGCCATGCGACCAAGCGCGGCGCGCTTCAGCTGCTTGCACTGGAAAAGCGACTGGCCATACTTCAAGAGTCGGACGTCTGCACAAATTGCACTAGGTTAGCCATTTTGCATTTCCCCTCCCAAAATCGAAAAAATCGCCTTCCCCCACACCACGCGGGAAGAAGGCCTCGCGAAAAGAGCTGGATTATACGCACAATCTCTGGAGATGGTCTCGATGAGGTGCTTCGCGGTCGAGAGCTGGCCGAGGGCGATCTTGAAGTGGTCGGCGTCGTAGAGGGTGTTGATCAGGTCCTTGTGGAAGGGGTGGATGTCGTTGAGGCGAGGGAACGACTCGATGATCAGGCCGAGCTTCTCGCTGATGGTCTCCTGGGTGAACTTGACCTTGCGGGTGTAGAAGCCTCTGATTCTGGAAATCTTGAAACCCGAGCGGATCTGGGTCGGCAGCCGGCGCTGCGTCCTCGAGAGGACAATGTCGAGGAACTCTTGCGAGTTGGGGACCGGGGGGAGATCCTTCCACCTGCCGCGCAAAGCGTGGTTAGCACATATTGATTCTTTTGTAATTTGGCTTCTCTTTGAAAATCGATCGCATGTAGGAAGGGTCCGACGTACTGAGTCTTCATTTTGGCGGCTGGGGTCTGCGTTGGAAAAACTTGAAGCAGTCCTCAGATGTTGCGATCGGTCAAGGTGCACCGTCGGTGAACTACAACAAAGTATTTGGGATGGGGGGCGGTGTTCTGCACTCGAATTTTTTTCTCTCGTTCGCTTATCTTATCGGAACGGACAGGTGGGGCGAGGGACCCCATGCCATTAGTGGCCGCTCAGAGGTTTTGGTCGTGCACTCAACGCTGATGGACACAATTAAGTAAGTACCTTACCTTAGGTACCTCGCCCACATGGCTGATATATTAAGGTAGTCTTAACTACACTCATAAGGCTATGATGGGTGGTTTCAAGGAGTTCATCAACTTTTTGGTACAAGTACGTTCCAAATTGCCCCAGTAGACTAAACCATCAGTGAGTTTGTGATGTTGGTTGAAGCTATGCAGGGTCCGGCGGTGCGGATTCCTCGTCTTATCACAACTTTATCGCGATAAATTTTGCGTGGTGGGGCACTCTCCGCGGGGCAGACGTGAATAGAGGGGTATCCGCGAATCCGTTTCGCGGAGCTTCAGTTTTGAGATCTTTCATCCTCCAGCCTCCGACAAGCATAAACCTCTGGAAGACCAACCCAAAAATTCCCGTCTCTTCTTTATTCTTTCTCCCCAAAAAAAGCCCATTGTTAAACGGTAGTCGCCAAAATGTCCTCCCAACTCGCCCCCTACAAGCAGGACTTCCTCAAGGCCGCCATCGCCGGCGGCGTCCTCAAGTTCGGCTCCTTTGAGCTCAAGTCGAAGCGCATCTCCCCCTACTTCTTCAACGCCGGCGACTTTTACCGCGCCGACCTCCTCCGTGCCATCTCCGTCGCCTACGCCCACACCGTCATCGAGGCCCGCAAGTCCTCCGGCCTGGCCTTTGACATCGTCTTCGGCCCGGCCTACAAGGGCATCCCGCTCGCGACCTCGACGACGGACAAGCTCGCCGAGCTGGACCCCGAAACTTACGGCACCACGTGCTACTCGTTCGACCGCAAGGAGGCCAAGGACCACGGCGAGGGCGGCAACATTGTCGGCGCGCCGCTCAAGGGCAAGAAGGTGCTCATCGTCGACGACGTCATCACCGCGGGAACCGCCAAGCGCGAGGCCATTGCCAAGATCCGCAAGGAGGGCGGCGAGGTCGTCGGCATCGTCGTCGCGCTCGACCGCATGGAGAAGCTCCCCGCTGCTGATGGCGACGACAGCAAGCCTGGCCCCAGCGCCATGGGCGAGATCAAGAAGGAGTACGGCATCCCCATCTTTGCCATCCTGACGCTCGACGACATCATTGAGGGTGCCAAGAGCTTTGCATCCGCTGAGGATATCAAGCGCACTGAGGAGTACCGTGCCAAGTACAAGGCTACCGATTAAATCTTGAGAGCCGGCTCCAAAGCCAGAGAACGGGGACGGTCTAGATTTGTGGGCAGACGTGATCTTCTGAATTTCACGCTCAACGGTCGGCGCTCGTAAGGATGGTTGGGATGAATGAATGCGATCGAATGAAGGGAACTTTATAGGACCCCTCGGGTCAAGGCGCATAGGATGATAAAAGTGATTTGGGAAGTGACTTTGCAGTACCTGCAAAACCTCACGCAAAGAAACACAGGCCGAACAGGGGACACTGTGAAAGATCGTATCTTAATTTTGCCTTGCTCGCCCTCATCCAGGTGGCAAGGCATTCTATGTCATGTCCTCATCGTTAAGGTAGTCTCCGGTCCTGTCGTCTCATGATGCTACCGCCCTTTTTTTTTTTTCTTTTTTCTGATTTTTTTTTTTTGAGATTGTACAATCTCGCGGTAACTCGACAACGACGACTTGACAACAAAAGAAAAAAGAAAAAAGCAAGGCCATCATGCAAAAGTGAGGTTGTTTAGAGTTGACAACCCACCCAGTATGCCACTCCCAGTTCCTCCCGGTTTGTTTGTCTCAAACAAACAGGGGCGTTCTTGTCCCGTCTAGAGCTCGGATAGTCGTAGCTCACAGGAAAGGACTGCGAAGAAAAAAAAGACGGGGAGAAAGTCCCACAATGGTTTCAGTGACCGCGGCGGCACTACTCGGCGGACGCCTTAAGGGCATCGGGACCCTTTTTGGGCGGGCCGGAAAGTTCAATGACCTGATATCATGTTAGTCGTTTCGCCAAAAGGGATGGTAGGCATCATTATGCATGTACCATGTCATTCCAGCCGCCACCAGCGAAAGACGCCTTGCTAGGGCCGACGCGCTTGAAGCCGAAGCGCTGGTAGTAGCTAACCAACCACTGCCGATTCGTCAGCAACTTGCAAGATTTCAAGAGCCAGGGTAGCTCAGTGAGCTAGAGGAAGCTTACGTCCTTGCAGATCAGCGCAATGCGGTCCGCAACGCCAGAGTTGTTGATCTGCTGCAGGTACGACTTCATGAGAAGCTTGCCGAGACCCAGGCCCTGGAGCTTGGGGTCGATGGCAAAGGAGTGCAGGCACAGCGTGCGACCCATGATCTTGTGGCCGACATCCGTGCTCTTGGCCGACTTTTGATCGCGCCAGTTGTCCGGGTAGGCCATGTCGTCGTCGCTGACGACGGGGCCGTCGCCGAGGGTCGCGACGGCGTGGCCGAGGAGGACCAGCTTGGCTCCGTTGGCGCGACCTGTCTCGACGGGGCTAGCGACGGTCATGGTCGAGAGGGGGAAAGCCTCGGCCTCGGCCGGGACGACGCTGCAGAAGAGACCTGTGGAGATATCTGAGCAGGTCGCGAGGCGGTACATGAACTATGATGAGGTGTGTAAGCTTTGCGTGAACCTTTGATTCCGGGTAATCTGCCTATGAGATGCTACGCGACCTATCCGTCCGCCGACGATAGAGACTCGCAGAACTCTCATTTCCATGAATGAGGCGAGCTCTGCATAAATTTGGCTCGGCGGAACACCCAGACTCGATGGCGCAAGGAGAAGAGATTGGGAAAAGGGACGCAGGGGAACTGCAAAGAAAGACAGGGACAAATCGGCTCACCTTGACGCGGGTAGCGCGATGACTCGGATCAGGGAACGCAGCGTCCTCGAGGGCGACGCAAGACTCGAGATTCGACTCGGTCAGCGGCAACACCAAAGGGCTCCATTTGAAAGGAACGATATGCTGGATCGTCCGGCGCTGCGTCTGTTGCTTCTTCTTCAGCTCGGACTGCGACATCTGAGTCTCGATGTACTCGTCGTCGGCGTCATCAGAACTGTCGATGGCACAGTCGGACGCCTCCTCAGGCTTGGCGACCGGGGGATCTTTCTCGTCAGGCATGATGACGAACGATCGAGAGAGATGTCTATAACGCGTGCGTCGTAGAATGCGGTATTGGAAGAGATATTTGAGGAGGAGGTGGAAGATGCGGATACGCCAGGAAGACGTATGAGAATTTGTAGAGAGCTGGGCAGAGTTGGGGGTAGGAAGAAGTTGGGAGTAGGAAGAGTTGTTGGTTACACAGAGAGAAGAAGCGAGGTGATGGAATCAACCAGAGGGCGGCTTGTTGGGTCAAATTACCCCCGTCAGCTGGTAGACAGAGAGACTAAAGGTTTCGAACAAGGCAAGGAGACACTTCAGGATGAACACCAGAAGAGGCGAGTGATGTTGGTACCTGGGAGTGATGGTTAAAAGGGGTGGGTTGGTCGAGTGCACAGGTAGCTCCGGAGGGGCATCGGGGTGCTGCCGGCCGTTGGACTCGGCGCTGTCGTTGCAGAGCGGGGCCTGACGGGGCTGTGAGTCAAGTAATGCTCGGCCGGTGTGTGCCGATTGGCAAGGCCGAGTGAAGACCTTAGCTCGGTGCAGTGAGTATCGGAACGGAGGAGGGAAGACGTCTCAGAAAGGCTAAGGTCAGATCGGGTGGTCCACGGCGGAGAGGGGACAAAGCATCGGGACAAGTCAAGTGAACCTGAGCTGTGAATGCGATAACGGGCTTGCAAAAGAGGAGTAACCTGGCTGCAGACCAAGCAGAAAGGTATGGAGTTGGTAGAAAATGGGATTGGTATTGCAGCAGCCAAAGAGGCAACTGGATGGAATTGGAGTTCAGTGACTCGCCATGGACCATGGCAAAGCAACACCCTCCATCATTGGACACTCTGTGTGAGGTGTGGTTGTGGTTATGAGGTGTTTGTCGCGTGACTGACCTACCCGCAGTGGCACAGTTGTGGCCTGTTCAGCCCATGGGTATTTCTAGGCGACGCTGGAGTTGTTGCCCGGCTCCATCTTATTTCCCACTCTTCCCAGAAAACTTCCCCAAGTTGTGGCATTGAGTGAAAGGGCCATGACGCTGTTCATGTGGCATACCAGCTTCTGTAGATGGAAAATTGCGGAAAAGGTCTTTGCAGGGCATGGCGGGTAACAATGGGTACTGTTGCTTTCTTTCGATCCAGGCTATCGCCCAAGGACAGGGTAGATTCCAGTGGGAAAAGATGCTTGAATGGCTTGCACATAGGGCAAGGTTGGTTGGGATCAAGGGAAGAGAAGAGTGAGAGAGAAAAAGTGACCTGACTTGTATTCATTTCCCCACAGTAAGCCAACTTCGACATCACTCCATACTCCAATACTGCTCTGCTACCAAGGTACAAGCACAGAGTTCTTGAGTCTCTAAACTCAGAGTTCTATCATGAGTTTCTCGGGACTTTGGCGTTGTGATAAATGATCTTTAACAGATTGAGAAACGCGCTGTTTGCTTTCAGACCGCTAATTGCTGGTCCGTCCCGTCAAATTGAGGCTGCTTTTGGCCAATGCAGCCGACAGAAACCGAACGAGATCTAGGCAGTGTCAGCGACTGCAATGACAAAGTTTGAAAAGAGGAGTGCGGTGCAATGTATGTAGATTCAGACTTTTGAATTCGCGTGGGTGGGCGAGCGGCTTACCTTAGTTGGGTCTTGGCCGACATGCTTGTTGCTCCTTTCCCCTGACTCCGCCTGCTGCGGTGTGCTTCACACTTGTATGGCACATTACCAGCCCAGTCCGGCCCGCCGTCGAATCGTAGAGAATGTACTATTACTTCGTACTCGAAATTGATGGATATTGCTTTGAAGACTGAAAGATCCGCAGCAACACCATACTGTGTAGGCAAGAAGACCCTGAGCCTGCCGATCCGTATAGACCTTGGCGTTCGTCTGGATCTTGGCCGATATCACAGCTGCAGCCCCAAGGCCGAAGCAAGCAGACGAAAAACTTTTCGCTGTGGCATGTTGACAGCTGCAGGTATTCACCTGAATGGACATAACTGCAGTATCGACTTCGAGAATCTTTCCGGGTCGGCGATCCAGAGTTGCATTGCCCCGCTGCAATGCAGCATATGCAGCAGGCTCAATGAGGTCTAGGAAGGGCCCTGAGGCACTTTTTGGGCTTTCCCACCATGTCAGATGGGCGAAGTCCGAAGACATTCTGAGTTGTAAGTTATGAGTCAACCCGCTTGGGCTGTGGTCATGGACCTTCCTAATGAATCAGTGTGGGTTGCAGAGGCTGAGAGCGCATACTGCATCAAGTACGAAGACGCGGAGCATTGCAACTGAACAGCGTCGAGAACCCGGAATGCGGCCGCCACCGGAAGCCGGATCCGACCGACTTCAAGGCCGGCATCCGAGCTGACTGCAGTTCCGACCCTCCAGCGGAGCGAGGTTGGCACGCCGATCTCTGCTCGCCTTCGAGACGTCGCATGCGAGATATCGGTGGGAGCAACGACAGCTTGGAATCATGATCCCGTGCCGTCAGATCATGAACATTCCGTTCAGGACAAAATCCCCGGCCCTTGCAGTCGCCATATAAACGAGACATGCATTGCCATTGACTCGAAGCAGACCTGCGAGCTTGCTCGCCGAATAGAGCGTGAGCAGCGAGGTCGCAGGCAGGTAGATGATGCTGGGAACTCTTCAGCATGGTGTGATGAAGAAGAAACTCGACAGGATGTCTCCGTTTCACGCCGTGTCCAACGTCGGCCATCCGGGCAAGTCGTTTTAGACGTTCTTCGTCATGATTAAAGTGGAAAGACGGACGTAGATTCCAAGCGAGGAAGCAGGGTGCTTCTCTGCCTCGAGCAGCAACAGGTTGAGGTGCTCGTAGGCTTGTCATCATCGCACAGAAACTTACGGGCGGAGGTGGCAGGAGATGTCGCTGCTAGACATCGATTGGCGGTACATCCTGAGGATCTATGACATGTCAGTTTGGCACAAGAAAAGAAAGAGATGCAAGTGCAGAAAAAGTAGAAACAAGAGGGGATTCTCAGCTCTTGTACCTGCTCCAGAAGGAAGTACATGAGTAGATTGCAAGGGTTGTTGAGGTCGCTTGCTTGGCTCGCGCAGCTGCCGCAGGTATAGATCAAGTACTTGATTGCGCCATCTTCCACCTAGTTTGCCGTCAAAGATACTTTGAAGACACTTGGTGGCTTAGTCAACGATTAGCTCGTGGGGCTGATATGCCGTAGGGGAACCTGCCCGTGCTGCTGTGACCTCAGCAACCTTGGAACTGGGAAGCTCAAGTCATCAATGGCTTCCTTGCCGTAGGCTTAGCAAGTACACGTGTAGATGCCTTGCGATGCAGAGATTGCCGCGCGGAAATACCTAAATTGAAGAAAACAAAGCAAAGCATGCGTCTGTCTGGCTGACAGGAAACACACAGTCGGAGTTTCTGTAGGTTCAGCTAAGGTAAGCGGAGAAGTTCCCGAAGCTTTCCATGAGCTTCTTTTCGCCATCTCGTTCCGTGGCCAGTGCTTTCCCTCCCGTCTCTTTGGAATACCTACCTTAGCTGCTTAGGTACCAGTGCGGATAGCTGAGGTATTCGTGCCTTGGGAGCACACAGGTTTGCTTTTCCCAGTGTTTGTATTCCGGCCGCCCCCATTCCACCTTGCCTTACCTTACCTTAGTATACTTCGTACGCAGTAGCTAAGTCCGCAGTACGGAAATATTCCCCGTCCTGGTTCCCCGTCGACCCCATCTTGAGCCACTGCAAACGGGGAAACGTACTGTGTAAGGTAGGGGTCTCGTCACTGCACCCACCTTCCTTACGAAACACTCAAAAAGGTACCCCAAGTACCCGAGCCGAGCTCTACCTTGCCTTTACCTTTCGTTACCTCCCCCAGCTCCCTTCCACCTTACCTTGAGATCCTTTTCTTTGAGACCAAGTATCTCTCAACTCATCAGATACCACCTGTCCAATCGTTCACCACCGCTACAAGGCTGCGGAATCACGTCGAAACTTTTCCCGGAGCTCTGCTTCATCCCATCGTCCATCCAGCAGCTCTTTACCTTCCGGATGAGACGTCACTGTTGTGTTGCCTGAATTTCGGCCCCTCCAACACCCCTCCTCCGCAGCTCCGTACTGAGGGTTCGCTTTCGCAATAGTGAAACTTGACGATTTCCCTGGACCAGATCCGGCCTCTTTGCGTCTCGCCGCCAGTCCATTTCTTTTATCAACCGATCAAACCCGCGGCAAACAGTTCCTGCCTGTACGCCAGGAACAAAAGCCCGTCATGTAAGCTTTGCCCCTTTGTCGGGACTTGACACGTTCTCCGCTGACTCTTCTTCCTCCTAACAGGCGCATTACACTAAGCATAACGAACCCCGAGGTCGAGGACCAGGATCTCCTCACCCTCGAGATCTTTCCCGATATGCCCATGTCCACACTCCGCGAAGCCATCCAAGCCGAGACCAACATCGCACCCACCTCCCAACACCTCTACCACAACGGTCGCTTGATCCAAGATGACACTCAGACGATGGAACAGTTGCAGATTGCCGACGGCGAGATGTTGGCGCTACACGTGAGGGACATGCAAGGAACCACTGGCTTGCCGGACCAGAGCAGAAGGGCACCGCAGCAGCGCCGGCGACCAGGAGGACAAGACCCAGAGCTCATTCGCCTTCAGATCCTGGGCGATCCAAACTTACGTGCCGAAGCCACCCGCCAGCAGCCCCAGCTCGCCGCCGTTCTCGATGATCCCCAGAGATTTGCCCAGCTTTTCAACCAGAGCTACGACCGTGAGCAGCGGGAACGCGAAGAGCGGCAGAGGCAGATTGCCCGTCTGAACGAGGACCCCTTTGACATCGAGGCTCAGCAGAAGATTGAAGAGATGATTCGTCAAGAGAGAGTCATGGAAAACCTCCAAAACGCCATGGAGCACAACCCTGAAGGTATGGCAGACAACCAAGGCATAACATGCGCAGACCGAGAGGCTAACTTCACACAGTATTCGGACGAGTGCACATGCTGTATGTCGATGTCGAGGTGAACGGCCACAGAGTAAAGGCGTTGGTCGATTCTGGAGCACAGGCAACCATCATGTCCCCTTCATGTGCCGAAGCCTGCGGTATCATGAGACTCGTAGACAAGCGGTTTGCGGGTGTGGCTCGTGGTGTAGGCACAGCCAACATCATCGGACGCGTACACTCTGCCCAGATCAAGGTCGGCACCATGTTCCTGCCTTGCAGTTTCACCGTCATGGAGGGCAAGCAGGTCGAGCTTCTCCTTGGCCTCGACATGCTTAAGCGCTACCAAGCCAGCATTGACTTGGCCAAGGACAAGCTGATCATTCAGGGCGAGGAGGTGTCGTTCTTGGGCGAAGCGGAGATTCCCAAGGAGAGCGAGGAGGCTCTGGAGGAAGAACCCAGATTACCTGGCCCAGCTGGAACGACCATTGGTCAGCGCTCCGGTGTTGTCAGTGGTCCCGAAGGCGCTGCTGCCGCCGCGCCGACGCAGCAAACCCTTCCACAAGGTCGGCCAGCACCTCAGCAGCAGCAGCAGCAGCCAGCGGCGCCAACTTTCCCGGAAGAGCATATCAACCAGCTCATGGCTCTGGGTTTCCCTCGTGAAGCGGCGATCAATGCTTTGCAAGCTACAGGTGGCAATGTCGAGTTCGCAGCCGGTCTCTTATTCGGGGCATAGACTGGATTAGGGGCGTATCGGAAATTCTTTGGTCGAAATGGACCTGCATGGTCGGACCGCAAAGGTATGGGACAATCTCGGGATGGAGATGTGGGGTGAATTGGAGTCGTAGTATCATGCATGCACAGCTCGACATGATATGCGTTCAAAGCGTTTTGGTAGACACACTCGGCACTTTTGAATTTCAAGTAATGCTAACTAAACCTTTGAGATTTGCCTATGCTTTGTATAAACGACGACGTTCCAAGGTATCCGCTATGGTCCCCTGCTCGGCGAACGCAGTACACCCAGCTTCATCCCAACAAGTCCGATTGCAGTTGCGAGATATAGGCATTTTTATTTTGACGAATGCGATATTACCCTCCCCAAATGAAGACAACTTTTATATGTACCAAAACCGTAACAAGAACAATATACAACCGGTCGGTTCTACCGTATCTTGTATACACACGGCTTCAAGATACCCGTCTCATCAACCTTGTCCTCCTCCGTCTCCCACACGAACCTCTTTTGCTTCTTCTCCTTGTCCACGTAGCCGGCCGCCTTTGCCGCGACAAGCCCCTTGCCCTTGGTGGGCACGGCGCCCTTGATAAAGTGCATCTTGACAAACATTTTGTTGGATAGGTCCACCGCGCCCTTGTTGCCCTCGCCCTGGCCCGCCAAGACGAAGCCGCGCTTCCGCAGCGCCTCGACAAAGGCGGAGACGTCCGTCTCGCCGCGCTTGTCCTCGTGGCCGTCGACCTCGACGGCGAGAGCCGTGCGGTCCTCCTCCGTCTCCTCGGGTTCTTTCGTCTTCTTGCCTGCGGCGGCGGCGGCTGCCTTTTTGCGGTTGCCGACGCTGTGCGAGACGACGGCGTTTTTGCGGTGCACGGGGCCGAAGCGGGACTTGATCTCGGCGATCCAGAGCTCGCCCTTCCAGTGGAGGATGCGGTAGGCCTCCTCGATGAAGTCAAGCCAGTTCGTGCCCATGAGGGCGAGGCAGAAGATGGCGACGTCAACTGAGTCGTTTTCGAGGGGCAGGTTGGCGATGTCGGCCTTTGTGACGTGTTTCGCGGGGGAGTGGAGGTCGTAGCTCATGATCTTGAGCTTGAGCTTTTTGGACTCGGGCTCGAGGGTCGAGGCGAGGCGGGCGTCGCCGCAGCCCAGGTCGGCGACGTAGCACGTCCCGTCGGTACGGGGCAGGGGTTGAGGGCCGTCGGGCTTGGATGGCGCGCCGCCGGGGCGTCCACCACCGCGAGCGTTGGGGAAGCGGGCTCTGGCGCGGAGCTTGATGTCGCGGATGTAGCCGTCGACGGGGTTCGAGGGCCAGACCTCGACCTGGCGGCGGAAGCCCTCGTGGTACTCGGAGAACATCTCGGGGGAGTCTTCGAAGAGCTGGTAGGCCTGGGCCGAGGGGCGGGTGTAGAGCGTCTCGTTGAGGTGGCGGAAGCGGGCCGAGATGAGCTTCTGGCGCATGGAGCGCTGGAGGGGCGTGAGCTTGGCCGCGGCGGGCGGGACGGGGGGTACGGAGGCGGCGATGGCGGCGGCGGCGTCCTGGTTCTTCTTCTTCTCGAGCTTTTCTTGCTTGTCTGTCAAGGCTGCCTTCTGTGACGTCTTTGACGGTGTGGTCTCTGCTGCTGGTGTGGCTGGCTCATCTTCGTTGTTGGACATTTCCTTGCGCTGCTTCTTCCCCTTCTTGTCGGATTTGGGTGTTTCCTGTGTCTTTTCTCCTCCATCGCTCTTGCTTTCCTTCTTCTCCTTCTTCTGCTTCTTGCTCGGCTTGGGCGTCTCGGCCTCGGCCTCATCCGCATCGTCACCATCGTGATCAGCCTCGGCGGTGGCAGGGGGAGCATCCTCCCTCTTTTCTCCAAAGACGCGAGGGTTCACCAGAACGGAGTTAGCGCCCGAGGTAGGCGCCTTCTTCTCCTTCTTCTCTTGCTTGTTGGCTCTCTTGCGCTTCTTGCTCTCATTCTTGGCGGTGTTGCTGGCCTTCTTCACCTGGGTCTCGGTTTTGAGACCCTCGGCCGCGACGGACCATCCTGGGACAGCGAACATTTTTCAATTGCCAAGAGTAATGTTCTAGATGTCCGGATTGTGTGATCTTCTTGTCGCGCCTACGAATTCAACAGGATGTGGTTGGTGAATAAGTTTGTTGCTTGAAGCTCATGCGCATCTCACGAACTCACTCCCGCGGCTTATCGACGTTGGAATTTTTTTTCTTTCCTTCCTTTCCCCAGAGGTCGCTTATCACACCCCTGCGTTTTGATCGACGCCAGGATGAGCCGAGTTAGACTGGTGGACCGTGCATTCCGACTGTTTCCTCTCCTTCCCGTTCTCACAGTTGCATCCCGTCTTACAACTCCCCTTCCCTTTCCATATACTCACGACCTACCAATTTCATCCAAAATTCGATCAATATTTATTCGAATCATCTCTCATTAATGATTGGCTAATATTTAATAGTGCTTCGGTTATCCTATCCCATCCCCTGTCTAGTCCCAACGTCGTTCGACGACCTGGCTCTAGTTACCAAGATGGAGGTTAACCTTCAACGGTCGTCGCCGCAGCGGAACAATCATTAGAGTCGATCCAATGGCTGTGGCTGATATTCCTAGACCTCATTTCTATCAATCTTAAAGACCCGCAAACGCGGCATTTTGCGCAACCCGGCATGCCGGAGTATTGTTCATGTCGACCCGAAGGAACTACAGCCAGTCGATTACGGAACACGCTATTGGCGAGCTAGACCGTTGATGAACTCGACCTAAGCCCAACACACCGGAAACCCCTGGAGATGTTTCTACACTTCGTAGCTGGCCATGTGGGTGATGGCCTGATTTGCGGACTCGAGAGTTCAGGCTGGTCTTCAATCCGCATTTACATTTCACGCCAATAAGAGCTGGGAGCCTCATCTGACTTGGAGTTCTGGGCAGCGCAGCCGGGCCCAGACTTACTGGTAACCAAGCTGCATACTTTTATGGCTGCAACAGGCTCGAAAGCTGCGCTGATTGGAACAATAGAGACAAAAAAGCAAGTGTATCGGACCGGCGATTGAGCTCCTGCATGTAGCCTTCATCGATGTCGACAAGAAACGGTTTACGAATCGTCACCGAGAGGCGCTGCAGGACAATCCAATCACTTCAGACAGCTTTTACTCCTTCCCGGATCCGGCCGCATGCAATTCAGAAGACGAAAACATCGTGCCCGAAGTTATGAGCCTATGAGGCTACCTCACCTCTCTGAGTCGTTGGCTGTCTTTTGGCGCCTGTTTCCGACACCTCCGACTTGCGGACGCAGTATGATCCAAGAAAGCAGTCATTGGTCGCATGGTCGACAAATCCGTCTCGGTGAAACGGGATATACATTGCATTTCTCGATTCCCACGTCAGACGTCAGCAACCCTCATCACCACAGGACCTTTCGCACTATTGTTCCAAGACGTTTTTGCGAGGCACTGCTCGACACAGCTAGATCCGCCTGTCTTCCAAGTGACTAGATACGTACGTGTAGGAATACCACCTGCCAAAATATCTATGGGATCCCCGCCATTCAACTCTTTTGCCCGAAGGAGGAAGGCCCCAACACTTGGGGCCCGACTGGTATGCGGCCAATTAACCAGTTTCTCGGCATGGGTCGGTTCAACACAGAAGACCCGATCTTTGGCCCGAAAACATGGGTACGGCGTATTGCCCGGCTCAACGGAAGGTTGTTGATGGACGCTTTGCTACATTCGGCGTAAAAGAGAGACGACGAGGTGGGGAGGAAACGGCGTGGCAGGTCAAGGCACCTTACCTGTTCGAGTGCAGAGATCCGTCTTTCCGATGACTCTCTTTCCAAGAAACCAACTGGAGATTTCTGAAAGACTCTATTCCAAGCATCGAGCTTCGAGAGAAGCCTTCGAGTGGTACCGCCGGCTTCCTAGATAGATTCCTGCGACGCAAGTCCCGCTTTAGCAAGGTGCATGTCTGGAAGACTATCTTGACCATTGACACGAGGGGCGTCCAGCGAAGTAACGACTCCAAGGTCCTATACAACCCACGAATCAAACGTTGGAAAGTAATCCAGGAACGTGCTTTAGGAGGGCCGAAATCCGTTTTCTTTCCGGCTATGCAGACATTGAGCCGGACTCTGCGGCTGCGAGAAGGCAAGGTGCATATCTAACCTGCAGCAACCGTTGTTGCGGGCTTCGACCGAGATCAGATAGAGTAAACAAACGTCTGGGGAAATCTGCCAAGGTGCGGTGTGTTCCTGCGCGTATCGAGGAGCACCGGGAGTGTACAAAGCGATCGACGATATAGTGAGCTGGATGTCACCGGTTCGTTCAAGAGAGCACAGGCAAAGGTGGCTCGGGGTGATCCGCACGCCTCCTTTCGTTCAACATTGCGCGACGTTTGTGTTGCACCGTATGCCAGTCAACGATGCTGCGACCAGTGGTCGGTCACACCATCCAGCAGGTCGGAAATGCGACGGTTGGCCCTTAACTTGGATCTCGGATGTAGTGGAAAGCGTCCTCCGACGGGGGGAATGTTGCCGGGATCCTTCAGCAACACATTGTTTCCGGCGTCTTGTTCTCCCGCCCAGTGCGTCCCGGTGAAATGCTCGCACCTAGCAGAAATGGACCCTGACATTGCTTGGATGAGGAGTACATAGCCGGGCAGGGAACGTGACATTCGCCCGAGTACTAGGTCCGTCCTTCTGCCACGCGTGCTGTTGCTCACAACGCTTGCGCACGACAATATGGATTATCAGATCATGCCCCTCCATTCGCAAGAAGGAAACGAGACGGCTTATATCCAAACCCCGGCCTTGCAGAAAGTTCAAAGGGGGAAAAAAAACCTTAGTTTCCCGCTCGGCACATGGTAATTCGGCTCAAGCCAGTGGATCCATCCCGCCTGGACTGAGACGCCACCGTTGCGTTGCCTTCGGCGGTGACCGAGAACCTGTCAAGATGCCTCTCGAACAACGACTACTATCAACAGCGGTCTAGACCTGGCTGAGGGCCAAATTCAGACCTACGGACG